TTCCAACGGTCCAGCCACAGATCCGTAATTGGCCATTCCAAAGATATATTTTCCACGTCGTCCGCGCCAAAAACCCGCAGGCTTCGCTTCTAATTCTAGAAAAAGCGGTTTTTAATTATTCAGAACGGTTGTCTTTCATGCAAAATTTAAAAAGATTACAAAGTGTGCGCCTCCATTATAACTATTTTAATGGGGCAAGTTCCTGAAGGAGATAGCTGCTTCCCGTTTCTGGCGTTTCATGCGGAAGAAACAACTCGGGTGTAAGGGAAGCCAGGCGAGCAGAAAAACTTCAGAATGAGGTACCGTGTACACATGCAACGCTAAGCTTGCGGAAATTAAAGCATCTCGTAGGGAATCGAGTCTTGTTGGATTTGATTTTTTTAATCATTGGTACTAAGTGACGGGATATACGGTAAAAAGGTTTTTGTTTTGTCTTTAGGGTAGCTTTGATACCCAAATATAAAAACTAACCAGTTGTCTTGTCGCTAGAGGCAATCCATTGATGTCCCTTAGACAATCTCAACATAATTGTTAAAACTATCATTAGGAATTCACGCGCATACTCCGCCTTACACACGCAAAACACTACACAAGTTTATATGGCTTGATCGTCTTCACTCGTCAGATGGCACTGCAGTTGCCAATCAGCTGAGGAGCTTCTGCATTGGGGTGTTGATGCAGCCTTTTTTTGTGCCTGGCAGCTACTTTCTTTATATTAATAATAATAATAATAATAATAATAATAATAATAATAATAATAATAATAATAATAATAATAATAATCAAACGTCTTTATTGGGCGAAGTTTAGCATAAGCTATTCTAGCACCTAATCCGTAAAATGTCCATCCAAAAAAATACAGGGTGACTTTGAAGTTGAGTCATTAATTTTCAGATAATGATTGTAGAAGCAAGATAAACCAAAATATGTGTGTAAAAATAAAAAAAATTAAAAAAAAAATGTTACCTTGTTACCTGCCAAACACGAGCACATAATATTATTATTGAGACAGGGCGGTATTCAAACTTCTAAAGGGCTATAACTTTGTTACTTTAATTTTACCAGAAAAATGTTAAAGGAAAAAACATTTCTTTTGATCAGATCTACTCACTGTTAAAATAAATGACTCAACTTCGAAGTCACCCTGTATATATCAACAACTAAAGTGCAGAATTAATTGAGCAAAACAGGTAAATCAAGACTGGATAAAAGTATAACATTATACATACAGGGTTTGTCCGGAAAGTAATAGGACTCATTTTCTTCCGCCATGACTGTACTTCGACTGGATTCGGTAGAGGGCGTTCCTAGCTAATGAATGAGCGGTTGATCGGTTGTCTCCGAGCACTTGGAGAGTCAGGACAGACATTTTCGCGCGACGTGTTTCTGTGAGTGGTGCAAGCCGAAAATGCAGCGTTCGTTAGAGCAGAGGTACGCGATTAAATTCTGTGTGAAAATGGGTAAATCTGCGACAGAGACGTTCGATATGATCAAGCAGGCTTACCCAGGTGTTGCTTTAGCAAGAAGTGGTGTGTTTCGGTGGCACCAGGCCTTTTTGGAGGGCCGGGAAGAGGTCGCTGATGAAGATCGTGCTGAAAGACCTTCGACTTCGACAAACACCGATAATGTGACGCGTGTGCGCAAAGTTTTGAACTCAGACCGTCGACTAAGTATTCGTTTAATTGACCAGATGTTAAGTTTACCAAAATCTATGGTTCATGACATTGTGACACAGCATTTGAACATGCGCAAGGTGTGCGCGAAGATGGTCCCAAAAGTGCTCACTGACGATCAGAAATTGCGGCGAGTGGAAGTGTGCCAAGAAAATTTGAACATGTGTGAAAGTGACCCCCAATTTTTGAATAACGTAATCACAGGTGACGAGTCATGGACCTTTGAGTATGATCCCGAGACAAAGAGGCAATCTTCCGAGTGGCACACGACGGCGTCTCCTCGCCCAAAAAAGGGAAGAATGAGCAAATCCAAAGTGAAAACGATGCTCATTGTCTGTTTTGACATCAAAGGCATCGTCCACCATGAATTTGTTCCTCCTGGACCAACCGTCAACGCCAAGTTTTACGTGGAAGTGCTCAGGAGACTCAAACGAAGGGTCAGTCGGGTCCGACAAGACATCGCAGCCGACTGGAAGTTGCACCACGACAACGCCCCGGCTCACACCGCTTTCTTATGAACAGCTACCTGACCAAAGCCGGCATCCCAACGCTTCGGCAGCCGCCCTACAGCTCAGATGTGCCCACCCCCCCCCCCCCCCCGACCTTTTTTTTGTCTTCTCGCCTGAAAAGGCCGATGAGAGGCAAGCATTTTGAGACGATAGAGGGGATCCAAGCAGCATACACCGCGGCTCTCAAGGCTATTCCGGAGAATGCCTAGCAGCGCTGCATCGACGCAGAAGGAGCCTATTTTGAAGGTTTTTAAAGAATTGTAACGATTGGCTCAATAAATTTTTTTAAATCGACTCAGTCCTGTTACTTTCCGGACAAACCCTGTACATATTGATACATATATCATAAGCAGAAATAAGAGATAAATTTATTTAAATGATTGCTCGAAAATTATTTTTCTTAGATAATATTTGAAATTCTTGAAATTTTAAGCATTAGTATCAGAGGGTAAAGCATTGTACATGATAGTAGCATTATAAGTAAAACATTTAGTAAGAAATGAAATTTTGTGAGGAGCAATTGTTATTGTATCAATAAAGCGAATACCTCGTGAGTGCATAGAACCACGAAATTTTAAGTTATCTTTCAAAAATGGGGGAATTGAGGTAAGTAAAAGCTTGTGAATATAACATAGCAATTGCAATTTTATGAACGAGGAGGTAAGGAGGTAGTCATATTTTTTCAAGTTACAGATTAACCTGCAACATGAATTTTGAATATTTGTAAGCGCTTGACAGATACTGAATCTAAAAACGGATGATAAACATTGTCGCAGTATGTAATTTTTGAAATAATTGATGACTCACAGAGAATCTTTTTAGTTTTTTAATCGAGAATTTGTTTGTTTAAGTATAGTTGTATGTATACTTTTTGTAACATTGTACACATGATGGATAAAATTCAGACATTTATCAAGAGATATGCCTAGATTTTTTGCAGTTTCACATACTTTTATAATTTCACCATTTATTGATATTGTCGAATATTTCTCAATTTAATTTCAAAATTTTTAGGAGGGAATATAATTACTTTTGGTTTTTCTGAATTTGATTTAAGATTACGAATTCTTGCACAGTTGTCGATAGACCTCAAATCTTCATTAATTTGAGCCTCCGCAATTATTATATTGTCAGTATTAAAATTACTGTATAACTGCGAGTCATCTGCAAAAAACTGAATATTGCAGCGTTTAATAGCCTTATCAAAATCGGAAATATATAAAATAAAAAGAAGTGGCCCAAGAACCGACGCCTGAGGCACTCCCAAAGAAATTAAAGCCTTAAGAGAAGTGCGATGACAACTCTTTGTGATCTATTATTTAAAAAGCTGTTTATTAGAGCAACTGATGATTCAGAGAAACCATAAAATTTACATTTTGCTATAAAGAGTAAGTGGTTGATGGTGTCAAACGCTTTAGAAAAATCTAATAGAATTAAGGAGGTAGTTTGATGGTTATCCCAAACCCTGACAATATTGTCAGTTAGATCTAACAGTGCTACAGCAGTATTATAACCCTTCCTAAAACCGCATTGTCTAGATGAAACATGTTCCTTTATTTGTGTATACATTCCAATAATTTGGACAGTATAGGCAAAATGCTATCAGCCATCAGGTCAGTATACGAGCTAGGATTATCTACTTTCGACAAAGGTAAAACAAGACAGCTTTTCCATGATTTAGGAAATATTCTTTTTTCTAACCATTTATTTATGATATGTGAATTGAAATTAGGGGAAAACATAATTTAAGTATTTCAAATGATACTCCGTCAGTTCCAAATGCATTGGACTTTAAGGTATAACATATTGAGCGTAAATCTGAATAACTTATTGGACAAAAACTGAATTTGTGGCTACAAAAATAATTATTTTCATAGAAAGAGATCTTTTCTGATCATGGATGAATATTATTGCTGAAAACAGAACAAAAATATTTGTTTACTTCTGTAGGATCTTTGAGATGGGCGGGAATCTCGCCATTTTTAGATTTTTGTATACGAATTAATTTGAGAGCTTTATAAAAATTCACAGAGTCATTTTGTTCACTAAGGAATCTCAAATAAGCTGCCTTTTCGAATCTAATTTTTCCTAACGTTCAGTTCCGTAATGTTTTGTAAAATTTCCATGATTCCTCTGATCCATCACATCTAAATTGTGCTTTGTTTTTCCTCTTAATTAACAGTTTCACATCTGGCATTAACCACGGAGCAAACGGCTTATAGACTCGCACAATTTTTAAGGGTGCATGAATATCAAAAGTAGACTTGATACCATGAGTCAAATATGATACCTTCTGGTTAATGTCATCTAACTCGAATAATTCATCCCAAAGATCTAAGATCGTATTGAAAATTGTCCATTTTAAAATTTTGGAAATCCGGATATCTGATAAATTTTTGTTTAGATTTTACACTATTAAAGATTGTTTCGCAAAATGCCAAGTGATGATCTGTAAATATAGTAAGTCTGTATTTACTGTTTCAGCATTAATGCAAGTTCCAGAGTTCCTCAAAAATATAGGATCTAATAAGCTACTGCAGTTCTCCGTAATCCTAGAGGGTTCATTTGTAACCTGGTGGAAGCCATATGCTATAAAAGAGTTGTCTAATTTATTATTGGCGACCAAAAAGGCTTACATTCATGTCACCGGCAACAATAATTTGATCAAATTTCGGTATGACGAATGTCAAAATATTTTCAAAATAATCAATAGCTTTATTAAAATTGGTATTTGGAGGTCGGTAGATCACCCCAAAAGCTAGACTCAAACCACTAATTTTTAATTTTATCCATAAATTCTCAACCTCTGGTATATACTGCACGTATTCCTCGATTTTTAACTTCTCACAAATTAAATCATTTCTTATATAAACGGCTACTCCACCACCACGGCTGCCTCTATCTTTACGAAATAATGAATACCCTTCAATATTCAACAGATTATCTTGAATCCTATTGTTAAGCCAGGTTTCTGAAATATCTAAAATATCAAACATAGAATTTTGCAGGATAAAAAAAATGTCAGATAAAGAATGTAGAAGAGAGCGAATATTTATATGGCCAAATTTAAATCTTTTCATGCTAGTACTAGACATTGAAATGTATTAATATGAAAAGAAATTATTCTTTCAAAATAAGATTCGGGATGTATACTCTCTTTGGAAGAAACTGAAAACTGGGCAATTGTTATTTGTGGGTGCGTGATTAATGTCATAGTTTTTATTATATTTTTTGTTTGCAAATATACAATTAGAACATACATGATCTAATTGTGTGCATGATAAACTATCATGATTTTTCTCACATTATAGGCAAACCTTTTGATTACTACATTTACTTTTCGAATGATGGAACCTGAAGCAGTTTGTACATTGGGAGATTTCATTGTTTTGATATACATTACCATCAAAAATTTGTTTGAAAAATCTACCTGAAACCTCTGCATATACATTATACATGCTTTTCAAGGTAATATACTTGTCATGGTTAATTTTGATGTCTTCTTGGGATATGCCGTAAATTTTGTCGAATGATATCAGCCTCCAGGTCGGTTTCAGTAATTTTTTCATGACTGCGATAGCCAACTATTTTTATTTTTGGCCTCAACATCTTCGATTCTGACACTCTGTAAACTGAAGATACTTCTTTTTCAATTTCTTCCTTCATTATACCATGGAAACATTTATTTCAACTCCTCCATTCTTAGAATTCTTTACTTGTTCTCTACTTCTAAATCCATTTTGGAGAGATACAATTTTTTATTGAGGTCATTCCTGGTTTGAAAGGAAGACTGCTCTTGATTTTTAGTAATTATAATACTTTTTATCGATCTTTGTTTGGTCTTCAAATGAGCATTATTATTGACTGAATCAGCATATAAAATACGTTCTGTAGTATTATCTTTTTCAATCTCTTCAATTCAGTTTAGTTTCTCGAGAGCAGAAGTAATAGACTCTTTTTCAGTGATGTGACACGTTAACGAATCATACTGCTCTTGAAACTTTCTTCTCATTTGTCAGTTGATGAACTATTTGATCCTTTTCGGTAAGCAGCTTTTCGTAGAGTGACAATTTATCAACTTGTGGTTTAATTTCTTGTCTCAGTTGTTCATTAATTCTTTCCAAGTATTCACAATATTTTGAAGTTTTCTGATTAGAATTGACCGAAACTTTTACAATTTCAATAACAGTGGTTTCTCTATCTTCATCAGTTTTGTTTTTCTTCTTGCTCATATTGTACACCCAGTATGATAGTTAGGATTATATTATTTAGGTAAGTAGCAAAATGTCAGAGCAATGTCAAAACTTCAGTTAAGAGAAAATGGTTGAAAATGATTTATGTCTTTCGTACCGTGTCTTCTTGAAGAATATGTTTGCAGCCTGATTTCCCTAGTAATTCTATTTAGCAGCGGAAAATTTTCTTTCACAAAATCAGCAAAATATGGTGAATAAGGTGGTAGAGGTAAGTATCTACTTGTAAGATGATATATTATCTCAGCTGTTTGTCGGTTACTAGAGAAATAGTCACGTCCTTATTAAAAACATACAAACAGGCATTTACCATGTTCCTCATAACTTTATTCCGGAATAATTTTGATGTTAGAACACTTGAAACAGACCCCTAGTTGACAACCATAGAGCTACAGTGATCTTAAGATATGATTATTGTTATGGAGCGATAGCTTTAGGGACTTTATCAATAACCAATAATTTTGCTTGCAGTGGCGGTTCACTTCTTTTCTCTTTTTCTTGATCCTGGTGCTCAAGGGTAATCACTTGATATTTAGCAATTGACTTTAATGGTATGATGATGCCATTAGCGCTTACCTGAAGACGACCTGACAATCTTTGGTTTGCAGAACAAACGTAGATCGATTGCAATGAGGAAGTCAAGTAAGCAGTAACATACCAACAAAATAGAGATGAAATATAATCAACCAGAAAAGAAATTATTGATACACGTAGAGCGAAACTACATCAATTTGTTTTTTTACTTACCAAGCTACTGCTAAGCTATTATGAGGTTATAGGTTGTTATAAGTACTGTAACAGCCTCGTATAGCTCGGACCTTGGATGGCGTGGAGCCCGATGTCGACGCTAGACAACCAGAGTTACGCGACCGGGCCTGGGAACTTGCAGGCTTAGCCGAGGCTCAAGAATAATCGATACCCGTCTGGGGCACTTGCTTCCAGCTAGACCGCGTCCATAATACCCGGCCAGATGGCAGAAGCAGTCAAAACACAGTCGATAGCGGAAGGTGACTCACCAAAGGACGCGGATATGGTTATAAATTTTTATAAATTAGTGCAAGTGTCAAAAACTAGTGTAAAAGTAACAAATTAGAGTTACAGCAGGAAGTTCCGTAATTTATAAATATGGGCATTAGAGAATATTCGTATGCAAATTGTATGATTTTTTAAGAAATTGACTAAATGCTTCACAACCATTACTGCAAAAATGTCTTCAAAGGTAGTAAAACGCCTTAAGGTCATTTATGGACGTTCTTTGAGGATTGAGTCCCGTTTGCGGATCGACGTCTCCTTGATTTTCTAGCAAGCAACATCTATTTTATAAATTTGGCACTTTTGTAACTCTAACAATTGTCATCACAGGTTTTCAAAACACCAAAGTTATGGGAATTATGAAGATTTTGAACATTCTGAAAATGTGAATGTGATATTTTTGCTAGTTTTTAAATCTTCAATATCTGAACAGAACAAGTGCGTATACCGCTCACAGGGCTGTCCGTCTAAGCTTTCAGTAAGATGCTGTGTAGTATAAGTGTATATTCAAGCCTTCCTTTAATTAGATACAGTACTCGTCAAAAAAGTTCTTTCCACCAAAATTTTCGGCATATATTCATCATGTATGCTATTCACGGACCCAATCTCTACCGTGTAGTGGATTATCTTCATTCATCCTAGCTCTCCGGTTTGAAAAGTGAACTGGAGGAATTTTTTTTACACGGACGGCAGCTAAAAAAACCGCACGGTCATTTCACATGGTGCAGTTCAGGGGTTCCGCTGCTGATTGAACGACTATTCATCGGTGGAAAGTGGAAAGCGCGAGTATTGTTCACGTTTCCACGGCTAAAAATTTAATTAACACTAGTAAAAAAAGGCTGTGGATAGGGATACGGCATAGCAGAAAGCCACGATGTGTATATTGGATAGTTGAGTAGGATACGAGCAGGAGCATGGGAATTAGCAGCATTTCAGATGTACAGCAACAATGAGTATCGTTAGCTTACGCTCTACTTTTAACGGTTGCAACCTTCCAAGGAAATATAATAATAATAATAATAATAATAATAAATGGTCTTTATTCAACATTATAAATTACTTAGGGATAAAAAAAAAATTAAAGATAAAATGATGAAAGGCGTAGTTCAGCCTAAGCTGCTTTTCAACTAAACCCACAAAATAATAACACTCATACAAAATATATATATAAAAAAAAGATAATATGCAATACAAAACAGAACATACGAGAGCATGGTAATGCAGTTTTTATGAGAGCACAATTCATGCAAAACAGAACAAGGCGACTTAAAAAGAAACATACTGGGACATTATCCTTTAAAACTTAGCGAGGTTTGCTTATACCTCAGCCTCCCCGAAAATACTTTTTAAAACTTTGTACTCGTAGAATTTCTTAACCACAAAAAGGAAAACATCTAGTTTCTACCCCGTTCTTATTTTTCTGAACAGGTCAGGTTGGCTGACTCAAATTCGAGATGGCAAAATTAACGCATAAGCACTAGGTTTTACCGTAAAAATGAAAGCTGAAAGTTCCATTATGGCAGCTAGTCTCCACCGTGTAACATTTTTACAAATGAAAGGCGAGTTATGCGATACCCAACTTTGAATCTCCTGGCGGGCTGTCAAATTTGAGGTGTTTTTGAATTGCTAAGCAACTAGGGTAGAACCAGGCCAATCGGATGAGAGGGCGAATCGGATCAAAGTAAGATATCGGTTAATATTTTCAATAACGCGTTAACATGGTTGTTTGGGTCCGATCACCCCAAGGTAACTTTATATTCTCGATTTATAAAGTACCCAATAAGAGGCTTCTACGAAAGGTAAAAAATGTTCCAAAATGGCGCCAAGACGCCATTTTTAAGTCACCCTGTATTTAGCGTAAAGGTAAAGGTCATTAGTTGCTTTGTTTAGTTTATACGTAATGCTGAGTTCGACAGTGCAAAAAAATAGCGGTCTAGATAGTATTAGCAGCAAAAAGCCTCCTTGGCTTTGGAATTTAAGCGATTAGTTTGAAATGAGCTCCTGCCAGTTACTTAAAGCAGCTGTCAGTAAGACGAGAATAGCCATAACGTTTTAGAACCTCACTTAGGAGGAGCAACAACAATAACAAGTAGATAAGGTTTTGAAGCTAACTCTGCTAATAAGTCTACTAGCCCCAATGAGATTATGTTCAGCTGGGAGGTGTCACATAGTAGTTGCATTAGAAGAAGGTCTCTTTCCTACTCCCATCTCGTGAAGAGGACGGTAGAATTTAACTTGAATGGGTCATAGAAAGGCAACGCTCACACAGTCTGAGTTGTGTTACCCTCATGTTGACATCCTCCGGTCAAGGATCGAGACTACAATTGTAGCTTCCTTTGTGGGTTTGAGACATTCCAGTTTTTTTTTCGATAATTCACATAAGACTTGTTACTATCCTGCGAAAAACCCAGAATAATTAGTTATGATTGGGTCTCGATCCACCATCGGTAGAGAAGTACGTACGTTACGTTATTTTGGCATCAGTTGGCGGTTTTTTTGATTCATAATAGAGTCAGGCGTAGAGATGGATGGCGATTGGTAGACGTAAAAATTTCGAACAAAAACGGTTATTTATGCGCCTGAAACCTGCAACTCAATTCTTGTCCCCATTCATTACACTACGAGTATGATCGATTATCGAAAATGCGTTTGTGCAATAACACAGCCTCCATCTTAAAAATCTCATAATCTTCAAAAATACAGGTATAAAGTGATATATTATTATAATTGAATTCTACTTGTCGCCTTTTATTATAACTAGCGCAAGCTTACCATGCTAACGCAATGCTGTTTGTTGTGGAAAATCGAACAACTCAAGGTTCATTATTTATAACAAGTGTAACTGTCAGCTCTTGAAAATGCCAAATGTCAGGGGTACTTCTCAAGTGAATCTTGTAGTACTCTGCTTCGCGCAGCAATTTATTTGTGTTACCTAAAATTGTTATTTTACTTAAATCCTCAAGATACTAATAAAACATAAGCAAAGGATAAATTTACATCAGTGCTTTCAAACAAATGTCTCGCATACTAATTTTTTTAACATGTCAAGTTAGCAAACGGAATTAACGCATGAATACTATTGTGACACCTTGTGTAGTGTAAGGTCACAGACTGCTAGTGTGTCAGTTTTGGTACTTTTGAGTTCTGTGTTATGTGTTGTCAAGTTGTAGGTTAGGTATGCTGTCAGATAGTTGTTCGTTTTCTTTATGTCTAAAACGTTCGGCATCGGTATATTTCGTGAAGCCTGTAATGTACTTTTTTTCTAGAAAGTTGTAGTTTCCAAAAAAACCCATAAAATTTCACCTTGTTGACTAAGTAGGTTAGTGTGCGAATAGTTCATTTCACGCTTTCTACAAGTGAACATCAGCTAGTTCCAAGTTGACATTTTTTTGGAAAACCTACATAATGTCAAAGAAACCGATTTAAAAAAAACGGACAAAATGTGGGTTTTCATGTTACGTAATGCTCTGCCAAAACGTCGTCGCATGTATAGCAGAAAGAAGAAAGAAGGCGGTACCACAGAGCACCCTTCAGCATAACGGAAGGCCAGTATAAAAAATTGACCTGTGAGGTGTATGTAATTATCGGGGGCGAAAACCTTGGGTATACAAAATCTAATTGCTTTCAAAATAACGAAACAAGTAAATAACACATTCTATTGGTTCTAAAAACTGTATAATGGGATTATAAGTAAAATACAAATTCAGGATTCACTGACAGGATGGGAGGATGCATGTATTCACTTTTTGATAATTCTACCTCTTCTGCAGAAACAACCCTTTCACAATCATAATTCCAGTTCAATACCAATAAGTTTGTGATTGCTTGTCTCTCTGCTACCCATTATTGTATTATATTCAATATTTTTGGATTTAATATCGTGAAACTCTGACGATTGCATCCTTTGACGAAGCAATATTTATTTGCCTGAATCGTTCTAAAAATAGTTTATCCATATCTAATATATAGACTACTAGCTATCTACCTTTAACTAGCTCTAGAACTTTTCGTCAATTTCCGTAGTTTCCCAGTCGAGAAAAATTGCTGCTGTGTAATCTAATATTTCCTGAGGTCGGCCAGATTTGTGGAGCTAATTGGTGAGATCCTTCCATCATCTAACACTATTTTGCGGCCGTAATACCAAATTGACAATTGTTGACAAATTCATTCTGTCAAAGTGAACTTTATGAGAAATTGATATGAGTGTTCATATGCAATATGACCAAAAAGAAGAAAAATGAATGCGAAAACGAAACTCTAGAACCAAATACTCAAATTAGCGTAAGTGAAACGAGTACCAAAAAAACTATTGTCAAAGAGAATTATTATCTTAAACAGCTTTTGGAAGAAAAGGAAAAATTTATATATCAGTTGGTAAATGAAAACCGTAGACTACAGGAAGCATATGACTTGATTTCTGCCAACATAGTAGAGAAGGAATCCGTTGTATCTACTTTGGCTATTGTAACTGATCAACTAGAACAGCTTGAGAAAAGAACGTCAGAGAATACATCATACTCACAAATCTTAAAGCAAAATACTCCTAAAATCAATAGCAACAACAAAAACAATGACATGAAATCCATATTAGTTACTCCCGACCTAATTAGTAACATTAATCTAGCAAGTATTGAAGACAAGATAGAGAAAGTAAATAATTATAAAAACGGCGGCGTCGAAATTCAAGTTGAGCAATGTTATTACCAGAAACTCAAAAATGAACTAGAAACTACGTTGAAGGGAAAATACTATATATCAGGAGCAAGAGAAATGAGACCAAAAATTAAGATCATAGGCTACAAAACTGAAAAAAAACATTCAGAAGCAGAAATTAAAGAAGAAATCATATCCCAGAATACATTCATGACATGACATGACAATGAAAGCGAAATCGAAATCACTTTTGTACGACACATACCATTCCGAAATTCTTATACTGTATTCGCTGAAGTTTCTGGAGAGCTATATAGAGACACATTTATCAACAAGAAATCAAGAATACTACTAGGTTGGCAAAACTTGTTTGTCTATGACAATAACCAGATATCGCAGTGTAGAAAATGCTTGAAGTTTGGTCACACAGACAAAAAATGTAGGGGCGCGGAAATGTGCATTAAATGTGGACCAGCACATAGAAGTGAAATTTGTACTGTAAACATTTTAAAATCTTCTAACTGTATGAACTATAACGTTAAGCATAATGATGTTGGTCACTCGCCCACAGACAAAAAATGCCCCTCGTATTTATATTTTCAAAAACAGTATTCATCCAGAATAATGTTTTGAGCGTTTAGTTCTTTTTACGTTTTTCGAGCTACATATCATTTGCAAAATTTTACATGGATAGTTACGTAAATAATTTTCAGGTTAATGATATCAATACAAATATTGCTCAAGATGCAAATGCTCTTAATAAATGGTTAGAATATTCTAATTTCAATGTTAGCTTATATCACATGAATATACGAAGCCTAAACCAAAATTTTGACTGTTTTAATATCTTCCTAACTACAATTAAACAGAAATTTGATATAATAATATTAAAAGAAACTTGGAAAATTAATTATGTATCTTTGTTCTGTTTGGAAGGTTATGATACGCTTTACAATAATGGTACGTACAACCAGAATGATGTGGTGGTAGTATATGTAAGAAATGATATCAACTACAGATGTGATTTTGTTAAATTTGATGACGGTATCACAGTGTTGGATTTGATATTGAGAATTAATAACAAAAGTGTAAAAGTCACATCTGTCTATCGACCACCATCATCAAACCCTTATACATTTGTAGAAAATCTTGAAAAATTTTTGTTAGATAACAAAAATGCCATACAGTCACACCACATCATAATAGGAGATATGAATATTAATATACTCCAACATACCAAATTAGTAAACAAATACCTCACTGTAATGCAGAGCAATGGATTCATATCAAATATAAATTTACCAACAAGAGTAGTCAATAATAGTTCCAGTTCTTGCACTGATCATTGTTACATCCAAAAATTTTCAAATTTCTTTCGGTACATACCGTTAATTGTTGAAAACCATATTACCGATCATTTACCCACTGTAATACTTATATCATCACCAGAAAAAAATAAAAGTAGATCTATCTCCAATAATGAAACAGTGAAATTTAGGTGTTTTGTCGATAATAAAAAACTACTTGCAAATATCAAATTAGAATCGTGGACAGCAGTGTACTGTGCAACGAATGTTAATGATGCTGCAAACACACTCATTGAACGCATAAAATATTTAATTGAATGTAGTACAAACAGAGTTAAAATTAAACATTTTCACAGAAGCAGGAATCCCTGGATAACTAAAGGTTTGATAAAGCCTGCCAACAAAAAAGAGGAACTATACAAAATAATGAAAGCATCGCCATGTGCAGATACCTCCCATAAATATAATGAATATAAAAATATTTTTATCAATATAGTTAGAGAAGCAAAACGCCAATTCTATCTAAAAAAATTACAAGATGCCAAATCTGATTCAAGAAAACTGTGGTCAGTTGTCGATCACTTAACTAACAAAGACGTTCAAGAAAAGCCAAATATTGATGAAATTAAGAATCGTGATGGAACAATATTAACAGATAAACGACAAATATCCGATACATTCTTAAATTTTTTCATTAATGTTGGAGAAAATTTAGCATCCAGTATTAAAAAAATGGTTTCGAACGAGAAGTTCACAAAAACCCAACTTCCCAATTCATTCTTTTTAGAAAGCGTTAGTCCGATTGAAGTACAAGAAGCTGTCCCATCACTTAAAACCAAAAAAAGTCCTGGTGTAGATGGTATCAAAGCCGACCATTTAAAAATAGTAGCCTACGACTTAGCCGAACCACTTTCTTACGTCATTAATTGGTGTTTCCAATCTGGAATTTGTCCTGATGCATTTAAAGCAACTGTTATTACTCCTGTTTATAAAAGCGGTGACAGAATGGAAACATCAAATTATAGACCCATATCAGTACTATCGAATATAGCCAAAATTTTCGAAAAATTACTACAAAAAAGGATATTACAATTTTTGGACAAAAACAAAATTATATGTTCTGACCAATATGGATTTAGAAAAGGAAAATCTACTACAGATGCAATTTTGGCTGCAATGGATGAAATTAACTCTAATGTCAACAAAAAGATACCTACTATTGGTATCTTTGTTGATCTAAAAAATGCCTTTGATACGGTTAACCATGTCGAGCTTCTGAAAGTTATGGAAAGATTGGGATTTAGGGGGGCGTCACAAATCCTTTTAAAAAATTACCTTTCAAGTCGGGCACAGACTGTCAAAATCACTAACACTTACAGTAAAAAAATGTACATCAAGTGTGGTGTGCCTCAAGGAACAGTACTAGGCCCACTATTATTTAGCCTCTACTTAAATGACTTATTCAAAATTAACAGTTCTGGAAAGATTATATGTTTTGCAGATGACACCCTCGTATTATATAAAGCTAATGACTGGAGCACACTGAAGCAAATAGCTGAAAAGGATTTTATAAGAATCATTGACTGGTTTGATACTAAAATTTTAACAGTTAACTTCAAAAAAACAAAATGTATTGCATTTACATCCTATTCAAAATGTTTACCTACCTTCGAACAAATTTCCGTTAATTATCATGGCCAAAAGACCAAAATCGATAGAGTTAACACTTCGAAATATCTTGGAATATTTATAGACTCACATCTAAGGTGGGATAACCATATTAAATATGTTATCAAAAAAATTAGAAATGTTGCCTATAAACTCAAAATGCTTGCTAACATTCTTACAGAAAGTTATCTGCGAATCCTATACCATGCCTTAGTTGAAACCCATATAATATACGGCATCACAGCCTGGGGTGCCGCCTGCAAGACATATATTTCTGACCTGAATATAGCACAAAAAACTGTTTTGAAAGCCATTTTCCATAAGCCAAGATTATATCCAACGAACAACTTATATCAAGAAACAGGGATACTTGATACAAGACAACTTCATTTCTTATATGCCACCACCTTATACTATAAGTATTGTAATAAAAAGAAAAAATCCTATAAACACGAGCATAACACACGATTTCGAATAGGCTCATCTAATATCCAAAGACCACACAAAACATTCAAAAAATCATTTAAATTCTTAGCAGCTAAATTATATAATGTAGTACCAAACGAAATAAAGATACTTAATTTTGGAAAAAAATTTAGAAGAAAATTGAAAGACTGGGTTAGTAATGTGCAGCGAATGACTATACATAATTATATAGAAAACTAAAACTACAAAATTCCAATTACATTAATACCTTTTAGATTTAACAATAATTGTTATACACATATATGATTGATTGTTAGTTATTAAGATATAAACCACACACATGCCTTCTGTGGTTTTTTCAGATTTATTTGCCCATTTTTTGTATTTTGGCGAATAAATATTATTATTATTATTATTACTAATGATTGTATATGATTGTAGATTAGCACCTTAACTAAACGTACTTGCTCGAATCGAATCGTCAAAGGGGTGGAATATGAACATAACATGAAATTGGAAATGTATCCAGCTACTGATAGCACCACCTAGCGTGAGCTGGATAACTTTATCTATTTGTTGCTTGAAATTTGGTGACAATGTGGATGATTGAGATGCTGTTTCTCGGACTTCCACTATCTTTAAAGTTTTTTGATTCACGATTGATGGGATCTTCAATCGAAACATCGTGAATCAAAGAACTTAGACAATCGAAGTCCGAAAGACAACATCTCACTTTTATCTATGCCCATTTAACCTTTCCCTCCCTGCGCGGGACTTTTTATGAAAAAAACAAAACAAAAAAACACTAGTTAATGTAGAAGATCACTTACATCAGTTGTTGCTTCTCTTTCTAATTTGGTTGAGCATTGTACTCTTAGAGCGTTACCTAGTATGGAAATAATGCAGAAAAGGGAAGAGGTTGGCACAGTTGAATTTTTAGAAAAATTAAATTTGATTTTATCCGAAATCTAAAATACTGGTTTAAAGAGAAAAAAGAGAAGTCGATTCAGTTAAACTTTGTTACTGGAAACATATGTGGATATTATCTTTTTGGAACATTGTAACACATCCACTCTTAAAATACAATTATATGATTACCCGTGAGCAATTTTGAGTTTTATTATGTTCACAGACTTGCTAGTTATAGGCGACGATTTCCTTACCAATAAACCGTAACCATAAAACTTATTTATGGATGGTTGTAAATTTAGATTCCATCTGGTAAATCACTTTCTTAAATCATCTAGGTGTTTTGCGTACAAGTCTTCAAGGAAACAGCAGCGGGTGAAAAAGAAAGATTCAGAGGGTATTGTTTTCAAATAAAGCATTTGCTTTGAGAAGATGTATCATTTTACGCCAGTTATGCCTCCATAAATTATCGAAGACAGGAATGTTGAGTTATTTTTGTAGATATGGGAACCAAGAAGTTGTTCCATACAAAGTTACTCTTGCAGACAATTTATCCATGTGAATTGGAGAAAGTAAGACTGCTAACTCTTGGACGAAAAATTTGGCAGTTATTATGCTTTGTACAAAAATTTAAGACTCATTTCTATATCCATGATATTAGTGGGCCTTCTATTGCCCCAATGAACATTAGCACCATCGGTCAAGTATGCAAAGACTGTTTTCATATCTGCAAGCGAAGCGTGCCGAGCAATACACATGCCGGGATTAGGAAAAGCTCCAGTTGATTACTGCACCGGCATCCAAGAATTAAATAAGAATATATTAAATCCGCTGCCTCAGCAATATGACTCAATAGCTAAAAAGTAACTGGCACCCATTTAAGCAACATTTCTGTTTTGTCAAATTCTGTTCAAGCTAATCTAACGACTTGCCCTGGATTTTCTGAGAACTAAACAACTTTTTACCAGTTAGATTGCTTACACATGTCGTAGAATTACATATGAATAGTACTTGCTTAACTCTGTTGGGAGTTGGCAAGTTTACATATGTTTGACGAAACATCCACATTAATTGATAGAAATATGATACTTGAATAAGTAGCCATGAAACCAAAAGAAAAATCTCTTTAACTAATCAATAAACACCACTCATTGGCTATGTTCATAGTCAAAGATTACCGTATATAGCTTAAGATGTTTGATGTCATACAAAAGAGATAAGAAAATCGAATCTGTCCTTGAATATCGTAAGCTTCTCACTGGTTTCATGCTGTTTCTAAGTAACTTCGTTAATATACAAAATTTGATCCAAATCGGCTTAAAACTGCCTGAGAGAGTTTGTATTAAATACTTGGCATGTTTGTACGAATCACCCTGTATATCTGTCAATAATGATCTCCATTTTCAGTTATAAAAAAGTGCATTCTACCTACAATTTCACTATGTCCATTTCCTCACAAAACACCGTACCGTTTATAACTAACTCAATCTTATTTGTTGATAAATGGATCTGCGAGTAAACAATGTGCACGCCAATGTATGCAATATTGGTTATGTAAACGAAACCTTGAACAATTTACTCCACCACTTACAGGATGCTTTTTTCTTTGCTCTTCTAACAGCCAATGGACGAAGGACGTTTTTGTCATATTCAAACAAAACGCAACAGAAAACATATGAGGTGTAATCCAAAAATTGTTGATTGCAAGAAAGATTGCACACACTGGATTTGGTAACTGCACTTCACTAGCGTTTCAGTGCAAACTAGGAAAATCCTCCTCAGGCAGATTGTTTTACAATATCGACACTCTAAGAACAAAGAAGCGGTCATACCAGCCAGTAGGTGTATGGAGTTCTACAGAGCTGGATGGGAGGCAGAAGCCTGACGGGTTCATTAGGCAGGCTCAAAGCGCTGCAATAGCATGGGGCTCTGAGGAGCAAAGCGCTTTGGCATAGCAGTAAAGGGGGTCAGACTGCTGAGCAGCCCCCTTTGGTACGAAAAGTCTCGAGACTGTCTGTTAGAGAAGTGCCATCGATAGCCCTTAAGACAACTGAGTATGAACAATGTACTCGTGGCGGCAGTAACCCAAACGTGAGAGCAGCAGTTGAAGCGGGGTCTTAACTGTGTATTATACATAACGAGGAGGTACTCCACAAGCTCCCTATTGACATACTTCTCTATCGTCTTGCTTATCACAGAAAGTAGAGCAATAAACCTATCGTTGTAAAGGTAGGTCTCAGATTATTTTTTTTGGTAGGGGCTAAATACTACCAAATTTTCAATTCCCTGAGAGAGCAACGGTTTTAATTTATTTGCTATACACAACAAAGTATCACAAAAACAGGAAGCTGTGGTCACTAGAGTTACTGAACATACCGTAGTGTTATTTTTACGACGAATATCTATCCATTTTAAACTGACTATAAGAAGGACACCTCCGTCTCCATCTTTATTCACTCATTACTTTAGTAATGAGATATGACTTCACCATTCCATAACATGAGCATTGCCGGTAACTGAAAGCTCATAAAAGCTGGGGTTTTTATTTGTTTTGGCTTTTATAATTAACATAGGATTTTATGGTAGGTGTATGTGTATGTGCAGATGCACAACGAATTGAGACATTAAAACTTTTATAGCTTTACCCTGCCCTGCTTCATACAACCAGACCGCTTAGTATTTATTGAATATGAAAACATGTATTGGAAAAAATCGATCATTCGCATGTGTTTCGAATAGAACAAAATGTGTAGGTGCCAGCGCTGGTTACACGCTGATGCATAATATGTCGAATGTAAGATGGGAATTTTGTCAGACTGGTTTAGCATGATATGCTCTCAGACTCGCTCAGCTACGCGCTGCCAGAATAGATTCGCTCATCTCCATTCGGACAAGCGTTAGCTGAGCGCTTAAGGGACCAGCCGGTGGCGCTGACCACGTCTCATGCAGAGGTATCAAATTATGCCAGTCAACCGAGCCTGCTTGGCTTCTGATCACTGGGATCGAGAATGGAGGTTATGCCTTGAGGAACCTGAAGTCTAAATAAGTAAAAAGTTAAAAATTGCTAGAATATTATTGTTTAGTTTATCGTTGAGAGAGACAGGAGACCCCAGTTATACCAAACTTGGGCAGTGCAAAAATCGGTTTTAAGTTCCTTATAGCAGCCACGGTGCCCCGCCATGAAAGCCTACGCTACTGTTCCAGTATAAAGTTTTTCGCTGAAATCAATGAAAAGCTTCAATAGCTCCAAGCCAACCATGGTAATAATCGAAATCGCTAACTGATTAGCACATAATGTGTTATTTCGCAAAATGCATGTTCTATCATAATATTTCATAATATGCATATTCTGCCTACCATCGTATGCTCCTTACAACCTATCACCACATAAGGTAACAGAGATGACTCCCTAGGAACCTCTTAAGATAGGATGCATGATACATCGGTAAGCAATATTTCATACACGTTTAAAGCTCTTTCATTAGCAAACGTAGAGTGCTGAAATGCATATATATCGTTGTATCATATATGCAATATGTGTAATTATTGTTTACAGAGACTTGCAATTTTTTGTCATTAAACCACCACGCTAATCGTCTGGTAAGGAACATGAATTTACATAAGGAGAAACAGTACCTCCCAACGTACTTGATAGTGCAGTACCAATAGACAACAAGTTCCATCTCATTGTATGAGTTTGTGAAAAGAATTCACAAATGATCTCCATGATAGAGACTAACCCTAGGAAGAACCAGACAAAGCCCAGCGATTAAATATTTTAGGAAAATTAGAACGTAAGGACAACACAGTCACCACTTTCCAAAACTACAGCATTTTGAAGCGGTAAAGATACATTTACTTGAAAATTTGGTTTTCTGATGGTCTTTCAGCTCTTTCTGTGTTGGACCATTTTGAAATAACGAAGCAGAAAATAATATACAGTTTAGCTACTATGCCTTTTTTGCTTTTAGCAGATTTTGGTGATCAGAACCCATGGATATTGAAAAATGAATTTGTATCTATATTGCTGCAAGGATGGATTTAATATTCAAGACTGGCATATGAATACATTTCCAAGAAGTCCGAATAAACGGAATTATCCAGTATTATCCACGAATCGCTATATACATGCTCAACATTTTAGGTAAAGTCAAACTCAAAAATTCCTAGCTACATTCGTGATAAGAAAAATATGAATTATCACTGATTTTAAAACTTTTGAGAAATCTAAAAAAATGTCACTAGGCCATAACTGGCCAAATTCCTTACACTCGGAGCTTTCCACCCTTTCAACAGAATTTTTTGTTTACGCTTGAAAATTATTGGAAGTTTGAAATACACGGACAAAGTTCAAGCACATTCTGAAAGTCTCAATTTCTCGCTCTCGTTACCGCTGAACCGCTTTTGAAATTTATTTAGTTTCATTATTGTTAGTGAGATTAGCATGCTCTGCTTTTGTCCGTCCGACAGCTGTTTCGTGCTTTTTGGCTACTCCTCAGTATCCAGTCGGACCAGGAGGGTGAACATCTTATGGACTAACTGACAACGCCAGGGTCATCCTCTCTAGGCAAAATCAAGGAAACTACTTTACCGGCATCGAGTAAGACGTGATGCTTGCCGGGACTCTCTATCCTTATCTAAGTGCAAAAATATCAATTACAACCATGGCCTTTGCTTTGGTAACATCCAAATTCTCAGCTCTGAAGCTTTTGGAGATATTTAAATAAAAATATAAAATATAATGCTTTATATTCAGTAGATGTGATGGTACACTTGAAATGTATTGTCACTATTTTGCGGGAGATGTAGAAGTTCATAAAGCGCTACAGGTAGGCTGTGAACTTAACATATCCGCGTGATGTAGTTGGTAGATTATTTAAAATTGCATAAAAAGTAAGGAACACTAACAAGAAGGGAAGGAACATGATAATGATGTAGAAGTAACAGTGTAAGAAAGAATCATATTTTTTATATCTTAAGTTTTGCCTCTCGGAAAGGGAACGAAAACGTAACAACTACACATTATCAAAACGTTGAGACTGCATAGATCTTATTTCGCGAATTAAAGGCTTGGTCATAGTAGCGAAGTATTTTTATGCAGTGTTTCATTAAAACTAGTTTTTTGATTGTTACTCTGCCGTCACTGGGCTGATTTTCAAAGGCTGAGAAGCTATTGCATTTTTGGCATGGGATTAATCTCCTTACGTGAGAAGTAGTATGATTGAAAACAAAACATTTTTTCTGCCAACATAGACAACATAGTTACAAAGTGGTGCAACCTTGTCTTGAAGTACTTTTATGACACATTTCTGAGATGCTTTTTATGGTAGTAGAGATCAATGACTGCACTATATTATCCGAAACCCATGTTTATGCAGTAAAAACATGTTGAATAGCCGAGCAGTGCGACGATCCATTTTCCATTTGCAATAAAATTTTTAATTACTGCTGTCATAAACGATTATAAGCTGATGGCGGGCCTGTCCAGGGTTTTTTTTATATCTTCCGTTGTATCTGGTCGGATAATAATTGCAGAGTTGGTGTATGGTCGATGATTAGGAAACCCAGCAATATTGTGATTCGCTGAGAACTTTTATGGGAACAGATATAAATTCGGATGTGCGGAATAATCATCGAAAATAAAATCATTTGATTAACATATTCCATCAGATGACACCCAATTCAATTGAAAACCGTGCCTGCGAGAATACGGGCATATTCACCCTGGTGCCGCTGAGATACGCTTATTATGAACGTGTCGACCAATGTTTTTAGGTGCCAATGTTGTCAACTCTCGGACTGTTGCCGTAAGAAGTTGTTGCCAACATTCTAAGTATATGAAAGGGTACGATTAACTACGAGGAATGTGATCTTTGCTTGGAACTTTGATGTCATGTTTACACATGAACATTTTTTAAAGAAAACTTTTTCTGTTTTTGTTACTGTTTGTGTGTGATGGTATCATTTGCAGACAATAGATGGCGTCATGCTATTATAGGGTCAGCAGTAAGAGTTTAAATCAAAGTATATGAAAAGATGTTGTGGATTAGTGCCGTTTTGAATAATTAGATAGACGTATGATTTTTAACGTTTCATACCGATCCTTTTTTAGGCATATAGCTAAATCTAGAAAATCTCGTCGAATTAAATCTAAGAAGATCCCCAATATTTTCTCAACGGCAGTTAGAGCTTCACACATATGATTTAGAAAGTCAGTAATTGCACTTCACGTAGATGAACCCCTGCTGAAACCACTGCTTACTGCAAAACAGTTGAAGGTTCAAAAGATGTTAGACAATTAGCTACATAGTTTTCTATAATTTTTTCAAAGGCACTGAGTAACCAATTTATTGTTTATGTAGTTTTTTAGTTCGAAAAGCTTCACATGTTTTATATATTTCTTTAATTTTGGCTATTTTAAGTTTATCTGGGAAAGTACCTTTTACAAGAGAACAATTAATAGTACGTACTAGCGGATAGGCCACTAAATTTGGCTCACCCAGTACACCGATAAATACGACCTGACCTCTAGTTACAGGGGCTTCTTTGCATATATGATGCACGGTCTAGGAGATGGGTCTGTGCAATTCTTGTGATAACTCGTTGCCTGTATGTGCTTCATCTAATCACATCATTAGAAAGTAAAAAATCTTTTTTATTTGAAATACCTGGGGGTACATTAATTTGGATTACAAATAAGCCCATAGCCCATCAAAGTAATCGTATTATTGCTAAAGATATACTCGACAACCACATGTAAATATTCAAATTTAAGAATCTATCATTACACTAAGCAGTAAAGCAGATACACCATCACTCATTTACTATGAAATTATAGTTCTTGCTCGGATGTTCCCAACAATATTTTTTTATGGTGGAATATATGGTGGATCCGCTACGGAAACTTGATTTTTATGGATTAGAAACACATGTTAGGGTAATAGTTATAAATTTTAGCTATAATAAATTATATACGGCTACTTGATTTTTATTTATTTTATATGGCTTGATGGTTCGTCGTTCAGGTATGGGAAATTTATAATACTAGTAGATGGGCTTCGTCTAGCCGTTACTAATCTTATTACGGGTTTATTTATTGCCACTCTATAGCTGCGGGTGGCAGTGAATATATGGAGAAAACGTATGTCGGTAATAATAGTAACATTTGCGGAGAAGGAAAACTGTTGAATTCCATCGTATTTTATTTTGTTCAAATGGAACCTCTTATAAGAACGTGAGGGGGAACTATAACTGTGAAATTTAAATAGATATACTGTCAGGATTGACCAGTCTCTAAGGATTTGCACGCACCAACTCTCGCTTACTAATAAGCAAAGAAATAGTGAGATTTTGCACAACAAATCCTACAATTGCCGCCATTTTGTTAAGCGCGTTTGATTGAAAGTCCAGCTATCCTATGTAACAAAGTAATAAAACAAATTTTGTAGGGAATTGAGTTCATCATTTTATTTTTGTAAATATGTGTAGTAGAGTCAACAAATTACGAGAAATTAAAGGGTACAGAAATTAAGAACCCGATACTATGAAACAGATTTTATAGAGAATAATATATGCCTCAAAAAAGGTTTTTTACCTTTTTCGGATACTTCAATGGTTCTTGAAGTACAATGAGAGAAAGCTGAAAATTCGTCTTGAAACACACACGTGGAGTACTTTAAAATGTACGCTGCATAAAACAATTGACGTGGAGATAACTTCACAGTCATTGTCAATGTATCCATTTTTTAATACCACATCCACATGTGATGCTGTCAATACGGAGATCGTCACTCACTTTCATCAGTGTGTCTGTTGAAGATTTCATTTTCTACAAAGAAGGATACCAAATTTTATGCGCTTAAGTTGTTAGTTTAGCCATTATGAGCAAAAATATTATTACATGAGCCTTTTACCTTAAACTTCTCGTAACCTGTTGACTATATGGGCAGGTGTCAAATTTTTATGGAAGCGAAATAATAGAGAATCCTATTCCCTACAAAGTTGTATGTGTTTTTTATATATTATCGACGGTTTTCGAGATTTTCGATGAAATGCGTTCCTAAAAATTTTGTCAAACGCTCTAGCCCTGTCATGACCACCTAAGAATGCTACAAAAAGCCCAATTGTCGTAACAATTATAGAAAAAAAATCCTAATCCCTGGACTATAATAGGTATCCTATGCACATCCGCTAATACGTATGTATAATTAGCAATGCTTTCTTGCTATTCTAACCTGTGCTGAGATCAGCTGCACTCTAGTGTCAAACTAATAGAAAGCACCACTTTTTATATTTTGTATTCAGTAGAGTTTACTTGTGCGTATCTCTCTGATTTCGTCATAACCAGTACTTAGCAGCATACCAGTAAGTCAGCTTAACACCGAGCAACTTACCTCCAAGTCACAACCGTGTCAATATCTCTATGATACTACATGATATATACTAAGTGACATATAAATCCGAACACCCAGTTTAAAATGGTTTTATTTTAATAAAATTTTGTATAAGTACTTAATGAAGCATAATAAGTAAATGATAAAAATTTCAAAATGATTGCACTACTTTAAAGCCCTTTGACCTTTAATAATGTGTGGATGCACCCTGATGTGCTACGCATTCTCCAACGCGTCTAGGCATGCTTCTGATCAGGTGGTCAATGTCCTCCTGTGGTATCTCATTCCAGGCAACCACCAACTCCTCTCGAAGTGCTTCTAGAGTCTCAGGAGGACGTTGCAAATTGAGCAATCTCCTACCCATCATATCCCACACGTGCTCAATTGGGGATAAGTCGGGAGATCTTGGTGGCCATGGTAACAATGTGACATCATTATGTTGAAAGAAGTATATTGTGACTCTTGTAACATCTGGTCGGGCATTATCTTGTTGGAAAGTTGGATCTGCCAGGGTGTCAAGATAGGGTAAAAGATGGGGTTCTAGAACTTCGTGGATATAACGCTGCGCGTCCATGTTACCTCTCATGAAGATTAAAGGTGACCTGGAACCATAAGCTATAGCACCCCAAACCATAACTCCAACAGTGTGATGAACATGTCTTTCAACAAAAAACTGTGGATTCCTCCTTTCACCACGTCGCCTTCTAACCCTGGCACGACCATCGTGCATGCCTAAACAAAATCGAGACTCGTCACTAAAGACAATACTG